TGGATGGATTATCAACTAACAAAAAAGCAAATATCTAGTCACGAAATGCTCAAACCAAACTGTGGCTTGAAATACCAATCAAGATGATTGAAAACTTAATCGAATCAATGCCAAGGTGAATACAAGCATGTATTAAAAACAACGGGGGTCATATTCCATATTAATATATTTCGATTAAAAGAAGTTGTAGGTGCGTTTAAACTTTATTGCACTTTCTTCTAAGAAATCTTTTGATTACTTGAGTTTGTTGTTTAATTTCAGAAAAGATTTTGTGTTTTTCTTATTCAAAGTTGTGTTTTTTTTCTTAATTAATAATTGGCTAAGAATATTAAAAAAAAACAACCTAGACCCTGCCTCGTGTTTTCTCTTTGTATCACTTTAAACATACCTAAACTTTTAAAAAAACAAGTGTGTTTAAACTTTCTGTACAAGGTGCATATATATATATATATATATATATATATATATATATATATATATATATATATATATATATATATATATATATATATATATATATATATATATATATATATATATATATATATTATAGTTAGCGAATATCTACATTATGTGTATATTTTCACTGATAACAATAATAAGGTTACAAGTAAGAGTAAACACTGAACAGTCAACCTAAAGTGTTACATCTTAGGTATAATGATGCTAGCTGTTTAGCTATTAATAAAAAAAAACTGTTCGATGTTGTACCACTAATTGTGGAAAAATATCATTGTTGTGATATTCATGTTTAAATAAAACTTTTTTTCTTAATATATTAATTCACAATTGTCATATAAAATAACAAAACTTACAAAAAAAAAAAAATACATACAATGGTGTGTTTCCCTGTGAATCTTGAACGTCTATTTTGCATTTATGGTCTAATAATAGATTTACAATTTTTATATTCCCTCTAAAATTAAAAAAACCTCATTTTTATTAAAAAAAACAACATGTAAAAGTAAAAAAAATTTAGAAAAACAGTTTTTATATATTTTTATAGCATGAAACATTTGGTATCAAATTTTTCATGCTATAAAAATCAGAAAAAAAAAATAGTTTTACAAAGTATTTCATAGATTGTATTTAATAAGTATTTAATTTTAAAGTATTTAATTTTTATAAACACTAAATAAAATTAGTTACTTTGATTGTAGTCTAAATGATAAGACCTGACTACTTTCTTTATTCCTTCAATCAACTCTTTGTTCTTATTTTTTAAACATCCAGTTTGTTGCAGAGTACACAAAGTTAGTTTTTGTAGACTGTTTATCTACAGAAAGCTTATTAAAATTATATTCTAATTATAATCGCTAGTTAAAATTATATTTTAATTATAATCTTCATCCAATACTTTGAATGCCTGGTGCTAATTGCTGTATTTATGGATGCAGTACTTCTATAAGGCATAAAGAGGTTTCAATATTTAAAGTTTGTAAGTTTTAATACTTCTTGAAGGAAATGTCTGATTGCCATTATTCTTTAAGATCCTGTTGAAGATTCCAGTTAAAAGACTCGAATAGAAATAAAGCATCTTTTTATTTACGAAAAGCATTATCTATTAAATTTGATATCTTATAATAACATTATAAGATATCATATCTAATATGATATCTTATAATGTTCAAGCTTCATCAAGTCTGATACTGATAACTTGTACCAGCTTTTGTACAGCATTTAGGTCAAGTCTACTAGCATAATAACAAATCCGATGCTCAAGGCTAAATATATCATTTATAGACCATCCACCCGTGTAAACATTCTGCTCAAGCATTGCCTAATCACTCTTTTAAATAGATCTCTTGGTTTATCACTTTGCCAGAAGGAAAAATTTAAATTGATGTGATCCCTTGTGGGGAGATCCATAAAAACAATTCTTTTTTTCAAATTTTGACATACGATCATTTAAATATAATGCATTATTACCAGTCAGTGTGCTATTTGACAAAGTAAAGCAAGAATCATTGTCAATAGTATTTTGAAGATCCATAAAAACAATTCTTTTTTTCAAATTTTGACATACGATCATTTAAATATAATGCATTATTACCAGTCAGTGTGCTATTTGACAAAGTAAAGCAAGAATCATTGTCAATAGTATTTTGAATAAGGTTTAATACTTTTTTGGTGACCCTCTATTTAGAGGTACTGCCTGATCTTTTTTTTTTATTTTTTAACAAAGGCTTTTTAACATTTGTTCAATAGTGCTTTTATTACAACGAAATAATATACTTCCATTTTCATGCTTTTTATGATAAAAATCATACACATCAATTTTTAATGCTTTCTTTTTGGCTTTAAATTGTTGTTTAAACAAAAAATAATCAGACAATTTATATACTATTTGATAAAGGAATTTGATACCAAATATTAATTATTTTATCGAACCTACTAACTAATTATTTCTTTGCATCCTAAAAATATCATTTTAAAAAGATTATTTAAAAAAACATCATTTTAAAAATCATCCTAAAAAGATCATTTCAAAAATGTATAAAATTACTTGGTAAACTCACTAAGGTTTAAAGATCACAGTTAATTCTGTTAAAATTGTCAAACTTTTTATAATAGCAGTGCATTATGTATTAACTAAAGGGTTTTGTCAGGATCCTACAAAAATTACATTAAACAACAATGGTCAATTGGTTGAAGGAAAGATAATCTTTCCTTGTTTGATTTTGCTTTTAATGGTAATACAATTCAAAATCAACACATATTTAACCCAATTACAGGTCACTGTCTGGTTTTCTATGAACCAAACATATTAAGGGAGAGTATAACACATATGGCAGGTAGACCAATCCTGAAAAATCTTTTTGAAAATAAAAGTTGATTTTTCAAATGATTTGAATAAAAAATTCTCTTATTCCTCCTTGTTCTGCTGAAAACGAAGACAACTGGCATAAAGAGTAAACATGACTATGAAATTTTTGTAACATTTTGACATATGTGTAGTTAAGCTATTATTCTATAAACAGTGTGATATAGTTAGAAGTTTCAGGTTTCTTTATTTAATATTTGTATATAAAATAAAATTTTCTGCCAAGCAAACTTTTTTAAGACTGGTATACCAGTGGGTTGAATGATTATTTTGTGTACCGAGATGGTTAAAACAGTTATTGAAAAATCATTATTGACTCGTTACATCATTTTATCCCCAATGACATTAGACAAGACACAAGAATTGTTTTCCAAGTGATATACAAATTTTCATATTTTAGTTCAGATGCTGTTTGGGCAGCCATTTTGGATATTCACAGTCATTTAATTTTTTCACAAAAATAAAATTGTGAAAAAATAATTTCTTGACCTAAAGAACATAATACTAAATGCAAAAATCATACTTCAAATGGATCAACAAGGTGAGATATTAGGCAATTGCTTTTGGCTACTATTTTGGATTTTGAAAACCATTTTGTTTTTTTATAAAACTAAAAATGTCAGAAATAAGTTCCTCGACCTCACAAATGAAATACAAGACACAAGAATCATGTTTCTAGGTGATCTAGAAGCTCAGATATTACAAACAATATTTTAAACACCATCTTGGATTTCAGATAAAGTTTTACTACAATTTTGGTCAATTTTTTCTAATATGAATCAGGAATGCAAGCAAAACATTTCCAGCAATTTTAAGTTTGTGCCTAATTTTTTTCAGGACAAAATCTAATTTGACTGGGTTATAAAGTAAAGATTATACTACCTACCTGGAATTATGTTGATGACAAAAAAATACATGCCAGTGAGCCACTAGACAAACTGCTAATCTTTAATCCATCCATATGGAGGTCTTGCTTATATGGCATTATTTGGACTCCTGAGGCACAAACCTTAGTGCAGACTTTTTTTTGATTTAAAATTAATGTATTTTATTTTAAATATATGAAGTCATGAAACTCATGTGGCAAAACCATATAAGAGCAATGTAACAAATAACTAACCAGTTGTTCAAATAATCAAGGTTAATTAAAGATCATAAACAACCATAGTTGTATGTTTACAAAAAATTGTTTATAAACATTAGATAACAGTAAGTGTTAGTGAACAAAATCATACACTTCACAACTTTAAGAGTTTGTAGAAATAACAAAACATTACTTTCTTTCTAATCTGACTTTTTTTTGACTTTTTTTTTTTTTATTTATTTCTTTTTAATTTCTTTTTTTTTTAAATAATTTTTTGAATTTTGATTATTTTAATTGGAATGATTTTTTTGAATTTTGATTATTTTAATAATGAAAACTTATGTGGATGATTTTTTTTTATTTTAATAATGAAATTGGATGATTTTTTTTAAATCAAAGAATAAAAAATTGAAACTCTTATAACAATATTAGTTACAGTAGCAAAAGAAAATTTAAATAACAATCACTTGACTGTACCATTTAAAAAAAAAGAAAGATTGTAATCATTGAAAATATTTTGATGTATCCACATGATAAACTGAAACTCTTTATTTATTTATAATCTGTGTTTTTATTTATTTTAAATTAATTAAAAACAGCAATATCCTTTGAGAACAAATCATGTAGCTATGTAGATGTTCAAAATAGTAATTCAAGTAGCGGGTCAAGTATAAACAGTTTACTGCACATATATACTGTATACTCTTTTCATATAACATTTATGTATACATTTTTTAATTAATGGTTTAGAGTTATTTTTTGCGCAACAAAGCAAAAAACCCACAAAAACTTACAATGAAGCAGCTCTATGAAGGGGGCTTGCATAAGTATTTCTATCTTGTATATTAACATCTGCCTCTGAAGCAATCAATAATTGAGCTATCTAAAAATGAAAAAAATTAAATTGTATTATTAATTGGGAAACAGCAAATGAGTAATTGGGAAAGATTGAAACCAGGGAAAAGGAGATGCAATATAAATAATAATCTGAGTCAAAGAGTCAAAGTTCAGAGATCATGAGACTTATACAATTTCTTAAAATATAATAACAAAAGAGGAAGATTTTTTAAAATCTTGCTATGTCTTATTTATATAAGATTGCAATATAAAAGTACTTATAAAGACCCCCGCCCTCCCCTAAAAAAAAACAAAAAAAAAGGAGTAAGATATATTTTAAACTGATTCTGTTACTTTAGGGGGTTATGTAGAAGTAGTCTATAAGGATAAGTGGTTAGTTAGCATAGTAACCAAAACCCATTGCTGACCCTAATTCTGAGGGCTACAACCCGAAAGAAGATGCTGAAGTTAAGTTCCTCCACCCAAAAAGTCACCAAGTGGCTTCAAAGTGAAGAATACTTTTAAATTCAGAACATAAACATAGTTCCTATGGAACCGATGTTTGAATAAAATAGAAGAAGTACAAGCAAAATGGCAGTAATATTGTGAAAAATGACAACTACAGTCTTGTATTTGTAACTTGTATCTTTGATACCTTAAAAAATATTGCTTAAATATTTTAAAACTGCTTATTTATTTTTATTGTATTTGGTATTATTTTACAGTAATTTCTTGAAAAAGCCATATATCTTTGAAATAGTTCAGTTTTTGCTGTTTTTCCAGTTATTTTTCAGATTTTTAGTGACAAGAAAAAGTATAACTAAAAATATTAAAAACAAATATTAAATAATTTACAGGGTTTAGGAACCGAAAATTGAGTAATTAAACTAGCTAATTAAATGTTTCTTTCTAATTTCAGCATTTTAAGTGCTTAAGAACTCTGCATCAAAAAAGCATTATAAATGTTTATTTTCATATTTTTGTCATTGCTTTTCAAAGCTTTTAAATGTCATGATAACTAGCTCATTTTGGAATTATTAAAATTGTGATATCTTTTGAACCACTAATCATTAAATGCAATGTTTTTTTATAAAAGGGCAATTCCATGTGAAAACATCTAGCTTTTTTATATAATGCAAACTTAATTCTCAGATTTTGCTGATTATTATACCATTCAAAAATTTTAATAAGTTAATAACATTCCCAATTTATCATCTAATTCTAAATGGTTTCAAAGATGTGACTTTTCAAACTTTGCCATGAACCAACAAAAACCTGCCATTTTAAAAAATGGCTTCGATCTTTAGGCTGGGTGAATAAAAATGAGCAATTACTTTTACTCAGTGATTGGTCAGCTTTACGCGAATAAAAATTTAAGCAATTTTGCTTAAGTTTTTATTCACCTAAAGATGACCAATTAATTTATTCATGTTAAGCTGACCAATTAGTGAGCAAAAGCAATTGCTGATTTTTATTTACCCGGCCTTTTATTTCTGTTCTGTGCGCAATAGAAAGCTGAAAATGTAAAAACGACTTACATATTTTGAGATAAGAAATCCAATTAAACAAAATTTTAAAATAAATACAACACCTTTAATTTTTATCACCTTTATCGCAATTTTACTGGGGTAAGTTTAATTACAAAATTGCTGATGCTTGATTTTTATTTATTTTTTTAATTTAAATGTTGTCCTGAATAGTTTAGTAAGAGTTGTTACAAAGAGAGTGGTTTTTTCTTAAACAGAAAAAAAAGGGGGGTCAAATGAACTTGATTTGTTACTTATAATAGAATTATGAAAAATCAAAGGAAAAAAAAGGTCTCCTTTTTCGGGCTCTGTATCAGGGTAAAATTTAATAAACGGGGGAATGGGTCTTAATAACCTCAAGGTGGGTGGAAAAATTTTCCAAAAACAATTTGACCTCAACTTCTGTGTATTAAGAATATTAAAAATTTTTTAGTTTTGAGATACAAAGAAACTGTATTTCAAAACTAAAAAAAAAAAGTTTTTAGTTTTTGAGATCGGTTTAGATCTTAAAAATTAAAAACTTAGAAAATATAAACTCAGAAAATATAAACTATATAAAATTAGAAAATATACACTCACTTATAGAAATAAAAATACAAATTCCTACCCTCCTGTTTATTAATATCCCTTTTCTCACCCTCCCCTTTCTTTTCCTATCTCCCCTTATTTATTACATCTGGATAAAAACTTGATTTATATGATTGATAAAGTTTTACAAATTTATTAGGCTAAATTTTGAGTGTAAGTAACTAGTATGTTTTATAATCATTTCTCTTCCTTTATTTACAATTTTTCCACAACTCTAAATACAATTAAAAAGATTAATTGTATTTAGAGCTGTGGAAGACGTTGAATTGCAAAATTAGAAACATCACCTCCTGAATTAGCAATAACACTTATCACTATTGCAGTATGTTGCCTAACTGGAAGTCCCTTGTTTATTGCTATGAGAACTATTTTCTTTAAAATATTTTTAGTTAAAAAACAAACAGAGTTAGGTTGTTTATATTTGTTATGATATTCTAATCGTTATTACATTCTGACTATGAATTACCTTTTAGGCTCAATTTTATAAACTATATATAATGCCAAATTAAAAAAAATAATAAATGATCCATCATATAAAACATGTTTTAGCATAATTTTAGATAATGATAAAACAATGAAATTAAATAATAAAATTAAATAATAAATTAAGTTAAATAATAAATGATCCATCATATATATAAAACATTGAAATTAAATAATAAATTAAATTAAATAATAAATTAAAAAAAATAATAAATGACCCATCATATAAAACGTGTTTTAGCATGTATAATGTAGATAATGATAAAATAATGAAATGCATAATCAACTTTATTAAATATTGATATTTTTTACCAATATTTTATTCAGCCAATTGTTGGTCACTGGTCAATAAAAAAACAACTGTTTATTATTCTATAATATTAATTTAGTAAGTAAAAAATTATTAAGTATAGTAATAAAAATTTAATAAACATTTAGAAACAAAATAAAAAAGCCAGGTTATGATTCTAAATTTCCTCATTAAAATTATCTACTAATGATGTACATTTGACAATATTTTTTATTTCTGTTTTAGGAAAGACCACAATTCAATTCATTGTGATAACTCAAACTAAATTATTCAAATTGTTTGAAATTTAGGATCAAGTCAGCAACAACTAAAGAAACAATTTGATTTGGTCAAAGCTTTTTTAGTTTAATTACTGTCAAGTTACTCTCAGGTGCTTAATACAATGTGGGGTGGAAATAATAGGGTGTTAGCCAAGAACAAATTTAATACATCATTTTTGCGATATTGGGAATTTAAATATGACCTTTGGTCATTGCATACTGACTTTTAAATAAAGGCAACTCAAAGCTTGCGTTATTTTCTAAGTTAATTTATTCGAGCAAATTATTGTTCCACATAAGTAGAAAAATTTGACATTTTTTAGATACATATATATAATTGAAATGATTTTTTTTTGGTGGGTTATATTCACAGCAGGAATATTTTTGTACTTTATAAATGTTTAATTATAATTATTCAACTTGTTTCATTCTGAGCATTCTTCTTAAGTTTTCATATTGAAATCGCTTCTCTTCTTTGCGTGATATAGTAGAAAGAAAGCAAGAATGAAAGATAATTGTTTACAATTAAAATTTGAATGAATAAATTTGATACTTTGATCTATTTTCAATGCCTTTTTTTTAATTTTGTTATTTTAATTGTGATCTTACATAATTCCTTTATGTCATTTAATATAATATAAAATGATATTTAAGGCTTTAAATGTCATCGCTTTTAAATACAGTTTTAAAAAGTTAAAAACGATTATGTACATATATTATCTTCTTTTATTTTTATTTTTTATTTTTTTGTATTATTATTTGTACATTTCAAATTATAAATGTGAAAAAAATGCCTAATTGTATTAAATTTTTAACAAAACATTTTTGACAATTTCATTGATAGTTTTGTAACTTTTTATATAGCTAAAACGACTTTTTAATTGGCAACTGTCGATTAAAACACTATATATATAATATGGAAAGTATTTGAATATTTAAGTTTTTAAATACTTTACTATTTTAAAATAAAAACCTAAAAATCTTAATATACTTTAAAAAACTATAACTAAAAAATTTAAAACACTTGAAAATTTTTTCAAAACTTTTTTACATATATATTCGAATTTTTGTTCATAACTTTTATTAATGAATAAATTTTCAAGTGTAAACTTTAAATAAATTTTAAATAAATTTATATTGATTTAAAATTGTATTATAGTTTGATAAAATAATAATATAATTAAACACACTCTGTAAACATTTTTACAAGGTAAAAACACATAGAAAATAGTTTAAAATACTAAAAGAAAATAAAAAGATCACTTGAGAATGTTTTCTTCAAGAGTATTTTTGAAAATTGTTCGCTGTTGCTTTGCATTCCAACATTGAACTGCCTGTACTAGAAATTGATAAGTATCTTAAGGAATTATATTTTTTGAAATTTTAGTTTTAAATTTCTTCTTCTCAAAGATATTTGTAACTTTCCTAACTTAAGATAAACAGTAAAATTATAAATAAAGAGTTTTTGAATAAGAATAAATTAAAAAAATAGTTTATTAAACATTTGATAGAGAATAACTGGCAAAATTTAAAAAAATAAAGTTTTCTTTTTTTTCACTTTTAATTGAACGATCTTGCTTGATAATGTCAACGCTTTTTTAAACATAAAAAAATTGATCACCTTAATTCATTTCTTCCTCATTTTTTCGTTTCATTCTTTGTCTTCGCACTAACTACGTTTACTACTTGTCTAGCGTGACATTTTAAATCTAAGACTAAGTTTTTTTCTTTCTAATTTTAACAAACAGGTGAGTTGGAATTGTTTTTTTTTAAGTAAGTTTATATTTTTTAATTTTAAGTAAATATTTTTAGTAAAATATATAAAAATTCAATCTAAGTAATTTATTATATCAACAATTTTAATTATATATTTATATATTTTTTAGATATGATTTTTACATTTTATTGTTGCAACAGCATTTGATAGTTTAAATTAACATCATTTCCATGATGATAACTGCATCTAGCATTTTATTTTTTGTTTTTGTTTTTGTTCTTTTAAAAATATTTTCTGTGAATATAGTAGTAACCAATAACCTTAATAAAGAAATTCTTTATTTCAATACTCATAGTACTGTGATTATGCAATTGAAAATTATTTTAAAGCAAATTAAATGAATAATTAAATGAAAAGTTGAATGAAAAAGGATGTTTAAAATCGATTATTTATTTTTCTTTAAATGTGGTAGACTTAACATGATTCATTATATGTAAGTTTTTTAAAAATGTCTGTATTTATAATAAAACAGCATGACACAATAATTGACATTGTTTGTATATGAAAAGTATTAAACAACATTTAACGATATTATTATTATATAATTTAATCACACATTTAAAGTTTAAATATTAATACAAATAGTTTCGTGTCAAGTAAGCACACATTATTTTGACATTTTACCTAAAGAAGGTAAATTTTCAAAGTTTTTCATCTCTATCTAACCTAAAAGAGGGTTTGATGGAAACATCACAAAGAAACAATTAGCATTAATGAGGTAATTGTTCTGATAGATTTTGCCAAATTAGTAAATCACAATATCATTAATTATTATTTAATAAGTTTCTAATTTTTTTTCAAACCTGGAGCTTATTAGAATTCTTGCCCTGTTAATTATAAAGAAAATCATTTTTTCTTTAAAATTAAAAGGGCATGTAAACTACTAATAATAGTTAAATTATTATAGGGAAAATCCCATTTTAATTCCAACAAGTAATGTTATTTTTTATTATGTCATTTTTTTAATTACTAACAGTAATATTTTGATTATTATTATTTTATTTATTATTTTGAGCATAAATTATAGTTGCTTAGATAACATAAATATTGTATTTTAACTTTCACACGTCATTCAGACGTGTGAATAAAGGTTCAGACGGGCTATGTCTGATATTAATTTTTTCACAAAATTATTTGTTAATTTGTATGTAATGTTGCATTTTCTGATAAAATTGCTTGTTAACATGTATGTTTCTTTTAAAGTACTGAAAAAGTTTATAATAGTTTTTTTTAATTTTTTTCAATAAAATAACGATTAAATAATTTAGCTTTAGTGGTGTAGTAATAGAGGACTTGCCTCATAAGTGAAAAGCTCCGAGTTCAATCTCACCACATCCCTGGTAGTACCGTGTTTAATTAGTTTCTCCGCGCTGCGACCTTGTTTGTCAAGGTTCATGTTTTGGAGTTGAGAGGGTTGTAACCACAATTAAAATAGTATCCTCAACTGTAGTGGCCTTCATGGCCATGGGTAGGTGAATTAAAATTAAAGACCACTCTCTAATTTTTTGTAACAACTCCAACTAAACTATTTAGGACAACGTTTAAAAAAAATAAATTAAAAAATTTTGAGACTTAGGGTTGCATGCCTTGGATGTTTTCACATGGAATCATCCAAAAATGTATAGTGTATTTAAATTTGAAACAAACAAAAAAGACACATGGTTCAATGGACATACGAAAACTTTGTAAATTCCATGAAAGGTCAGCAGTAAATAATAATCTGAGAAGACATAAATTATAAAATTCAGTATGAGTATTATCATTAAGGTATGAATATCAACATAATTTTAATAAATTATGTTGATATTTATACTATGTTTAGATTGAAATTCACCACCTACTGCAAGCTTTCACAGAAAGATAAGGGAGTGTCCATAAATTAAGCTATACTAAATTTATCTAAAAAAACAGAACTAGGAGATTATAAGCTCTTTTATGCAAAAATTTTCATTAAACTTAATGCAGTATTTTTATTTTTATTTTACTTAAGTCTCTGCGAGAGAAGATCTTTTTAATTTTGTTTATGAGCGAAACTTAGCATTGCATAATTAGGATGATATTTAATATTTAAAGTCAACTGCTTGTTCAAAATATCAATAAGTACTAAACTTTAACCAAAATTAAAGTACATAGTTAAATCAGTAAATAAAGCCAATTTAGAGGAAAAATTATAGAGATAACCATTAATATAAATGAGATACAACACTGGACTAAGGAAGAAAGGTACACTAGAGATTACTGAAAATTAAGAAGAGAACTAAGAAAGTAATAAAGTGAATCCTGGCAAACACTCTTGCAAGACTGCGACATATATGTTGACTGAGAAATATATGTTGTCATATCTGATGAATAAAAAACGGCAGCTAAAACTGCAACTAAACAGAAATGTTTAATATCACAGCTTGTTAATTGATTTGAAATATGGTTTTTGCATGACTTTTGAATTGACAATGCAGTCGGGAAACTTGTTTCAAATTGATGATCGATAGTTGGTAACTGCACCTATTAAAAAGGAACACCTTAATCCAGTGTATAACTTTTGTAAATCAATAATAATGGATATGACCATCAAAATTTGTTAATATGATTTTTTTAAACTGATTATTATTTTGTAAAAACCAATACACAGCCCTTTTGCTTCTTATGTTTTTAAAGTTTGAAAATTATAGCTATATGCAAAAATTTAAAGTTATTTACAAATATATTATATATAAATAAAAGTTATATACTAAATCCATAATAGAAAAACAGATAATACAAACTTAGGGAGATTAGATAATTAAGGAAAGTTTACAAAGTCATTTTTTTAATGTAAATTTATTATTTACAGATTTTTTAATATTTGAAAAAAAAAATTACAGTTTGCGGTATGTAATTCACTGCTAATTACTGCAATAGTAATTTTTTAATTGGATATATAACAATAGATAACATAAAAAAACAAAAATAATGGTAATAAAAAAATAATAATAAAATTAGAAAATCACACAATACTTTAACTTAGTAACATACCTCATAACGATTTTTAGAAGCTGCATAGTGAAGTGCAGTGCAACCAGTTGATGTTTGTTTATTAGGATCAGCTGAGTTTCTCAATAACTCTTTTACAATTAAATCACGACCAGCTGATGATGCAATTATAAGAGGCGTCCACCCAGACTGAAAAATACAAAAACATTAATATAACAAAAGGCTCAAATTAAAAACGCTATTGAAGTTCACAAATTATTTTTTTTATACAAAAATTTAACATAAATATATTTAAAAACAAAACAATTTAAAAAGTAAAAAAAAACACTTTAATAACAATTTTTTAAACTTATATATATTTATATTTATAAACGAATAATTTTAAATTTATTCAAAATAGAGTGCTCAACGTAGTAGAAAATCAATTATCAAATTTTTTTTCTTTTACACTGTGTTTCATCAATAAAGACAGAAAATGAAATTATTTTCTGTCTTTATTGATTTCATTTTCAGGGTTAGGTAGGGTCATTATAACATAAAAATAATTTTTTTTTCTCTAATATTTCAGTGTTTGCATATAGTTTTTCATGCTTCAACGATGAGTCTTTTCATACTTCAACGATGAGTCTACCATAAAAATTATGACTCAAAAGGCTCAATATGTGAAAATGGCTTCATCCTAATTTTACGTTTTGATCAGTCATTAATGGAAAAGGCCTTGGTCTACTGTATATTGGATGGAATATTGAAGCAGGACCAATACAAAAAAGTCATTAAGACATGTCTTTTATTTTAATTAGAGAATTGGTTTCCAAATAAGCAGAAGAAAATATTTATGCAGGCTGTAGCCTAACGCCACACTGCAAAATTCATTAAAAAATTATTGGCATTTTTTAAAATTTTACTTTTGGATTGGCCAGGGAACTTCCCAGATCTAAACCCCATAGAAAATGTATGGAAGCTAACAAAGAGAGAAATTTTGCTGGAAAAGGTCACAAATAGGAGCCAACTAATTAAAAAGGTTATTTGGCATTGGAATCATAATGCACATTTAAAATAAAAGACTTAAAATTGCATTTATAGCATGCTGAATTCTTGCATTTGAACTGGCATTGGAATCATAATACACATTTAAAAGAAATTTAAAAGAAAGAAAAGACTTTAAATTGCATTTATAGTATGATGAACTTATGCAGTTATAAAAAATAAGGGAGGATCAACAAAATATTAAAAAATTCAAGTAAATAAACATCTTCTTATTGTTACTTTTTGTATCTTATGTTAGTAAATAGTTATAGTTAATGTATATTCAAAGTTTTCATCTGTATTTTTATAAAAAGTTTACCTTTAAGACTAAAAATACAAAAAATATCAATATGGGCTAATAATTTGATTGGGGACTGTATATATAAACAAACATAAAAATCAAAAATAGGAATTAAAAAAAATTACATCATCAGGCTGATCTATAGGCACATTGCAATCATTAAGTAAATATTGAACAATAGAAAGGTGACCAGCAGAGCAAGCCCAATGCAATGGCTGACGTTCATCCTATAAAAAAAAATTTCTTTATAATCAAACAAAATATTAATACAAAATAACAAGTTAAAGACAAATTTTTTGACTACTACAACACCAATATTTATTTTAATGTTATTATTTTTTTTTTACTAAATCTATAACTATTCAGCCCTTGGAATTAGGAGAAATGAGGTCAGCAAAATTTTGCCAAACTTAATCTGTTAGAAGTTGGCATTGTCAAATGCTGACCCTAATTCCGAGGGCTGATTTTATGCATTTAATTCATTTTATAAAACTATTTAAATAAACATTTGAATAGCCCTAATTCAACTTTGACTTCGATTTAAAATGATATAATTATTTTCACTTTACTCTAAGTTCCATAATTTTCAAAGTGCTTTGAAAAGTTTTTAAAAATAAAAAAAAATATGTTGAGGTTAATGATTAAAAATAAATAAATGTATTATAAATATAAACAAATATAAAAACTTTTATATATTAAACATTGCTTAATAAAAAACCTATATTACTGTTTCATCTTGAACTTTTACATAAAATACCATTAATAATTGAAATAATAACTTTTAATATAAAATAAGTGCTTATAAAAAAATACGTTCAGGAAAATTTGCACTTTTTGCTTATTGACAGTCATGATTACACCATTTAATCAGCCAACTACACCATAAAAAATATATTTCAGTAAAGTTCACCTTCAGGTAGATAGTGATGTGCAGCAATCCTTTAGTCATCTCAAAAATCATTAGAGGTCACAAGACAGGCGGAGCACTGCAGTGCTCCTAACATATGCTCAACCAAACAATATTACATGCCAAAAAATATATTTTAAGTGCAATTTACAGGAAAACTTTGCATTTGCTTAGAAATGTCAGACGACATAAATTTTGAGACTATGTGAAGATGATGTACAGGATGAATCAACACAAGTCAACCAATTCGACTTGCCACTGTACAAAGAACACTAATCAAAACTATTTGTTTGCAAATCGAAGGCAACAATATATTGTCAAATATTACATGGGCAAATGTTACATGGGCAAATATTACAATGATTTTTTTGATGTTTTATATATAAATTGGTTAGGCATTACACAAACTTATTCCTTTTTTTTTACTTTTTGTTGAAACTATTAACATTTTGCCTCAAAATGGTTATATATTATTTAAAAAATTAATCACTTTCATAGAAAAATATTTATTTTATTAAACAAAAATTTGCTTTAAATTTTTTATGCAAATAACTAAAAATATATAAAAATTTTGTGTTGTCGCATGCTTTATATTATATACTATGTCAAATGCAATTTAATAATGAAAATAGGTGGTGTTCAAGTTATTCAATAGAAACTGTGCTAAACCTATGTGAAAATAGTTATACTTAAAATATACTTGTTCTAATAGTCTTTTTATTAATTTTTTTCCCTCCACCTTAACACTAAATAAAACTTTTTTTAAGAATATATTGTTTAATCCTGTATAAAAATATACTCTCTGCCACTTGGAAAAAAAAGTTCTTGAACTTCAGATTTTGATACTAATAATTTTATAATACCTCAATTGTACAAATTTATAAAACTACATTATACATTTAAAATATATTAGCAATATATTTTGAATATAAATGACTATTTTGAGATTTAAGATTTTTTTTTACTGATAATATATTTTTATTAAAGACTCTAAATATACTTGTTTTTACAAATTTTTTTTTGATATTACATTTTTTTTTTATTTTTATTTTTTTATTAAACTACTATTAAGACTGGGTAGAATTGAAATTTCATTTAGAAATACAATGAAAATATTTACCTGATCTTTAACACTTGCAACTTCTTTTTGGGCACAAATAATATCTTTTAAACTTTCCAGGTTTCCATCATAAGCATACTGACATAACATGTTATTTGATACTGACATTTTCTGACTATGGCAAGTAAATCCAATAGTCTATTGGAAAATATAAATAAAAATGGAAAATATAATCTTATAGTAAAAACTGATAAATACTATTTAAAATAAAATTTATTGATTATTTTGTATCACAACATTTATGTTCTAGTGAATAGAACATTAATATTGAGATACCTTAAATGGTCAAACAAAATAATCAATAAATATTATTTTGAATAGTATTTATCAGTTTTTACTATAAAAATATATTTTACTTTTTCTCAAGTTTCAAATTTTATATAAAATAATAGCTCAACTAATAGTTTAAATAGTAATGTGTAGTTGAACTATGCATTACCAGTACTAATAAAGCTTTTTTGTTAAATATGCCTTATACTAAAATTTTTATTATAAAATTTACTATAATTATTTAAATTATAAAATTTGCCAATAGGCTTTCTGGCATTAAAGTAAAATTTTTATTATAAAATTTAATTATATGCTATATTATTTACTTATACTGTATTACAGTATAAAAATTTTTTTATAGCTTATTCATTAGGCTATTGGACTAATAATTAGTCTATAAGCTTTATAACCTATTTGTAAATTTTACTTACTGACAGCCTTAAGTATTAAATTTATGTGATATATATAAGTTATATGCTATAAGAAGATCTTATAATGAAATGTACTTATATTACAAGTAAATGTAAAAATGTACTTATATTACAAGTAAAATGTAACTATATTACAAGTAAATTTTATAGCCTATTAGTAATTATTACTATAAGTAAAATTTACTAATAGTATTAGTAAATTTTACTAACAGTTTGTAAGTGTTAAATTGATATGGAATATAAGTACTTATATACATATAATTTTAACACTTACAAACTGTAAGTAAAATTTACTAATACTATAAGTAGATTTTTCTTATAGTAATAATTACTAATAGGCTATAAAATTTACTATAATTTAAGTTATAGGCTATGGGTAAATCTTTTAATAAAATGCAAGATTTAAAGAGTACCTCATTTTATAATAAAAAAATAAATGAGACTTTTCATTATATTTGTGGAAAATATTTTTAACTTTACCGCTTTGGAAATCATATGAAATCAAAGTCATAAGAATTATTTATTTTTATCACTAATGAAATTTAACGATAAATCTTGCCATGCTTATTTTGAAATTTTGCACGCGTACGAATTAAACATAAAACAAAAATAAATATCTCAAAATAAAAAAAAGGTCAAGGGCGACTTTAGATGGGGGTGTTAGATACACACAGTAGGTACACAACAAGAGCGATTATGGGAGATAGAACCTTACAATTCTCACGCAACGATACTAATCTTTATTACATAATAAACAGTTATGAGTGTTAGCAATCTAAGCTAAGTTATTTTGTTTCATTAAAAGTTTAAAAAATTAAATTGTTAAATTGGTTGCTAAGAAAGTTTAAAAGTTAAGAAACTTTGTTTTTATTTTGAAAATTTAAAAGAATACAACAAGTTTTTTAAATTCTCTCAACATGACAAATTAGAAAAAGAAACCTGGCGGATAGGGAGGTAACTCCCTATCCGCCAGGACAGGGAGTTACCTCCCTATCCTGGCGGACAGCTCTGCCTGGGAGTAGGCACCCAAATTTTAATACAATTTATATTTTTTTTACTTCAGCCGGATTCTGTAATAGTCAACATTTTTGTTCTGTAACCATAATTGTTTACAACAAAAATGAACCTGAAACATGATCGTATCTGCTTGCCAAGATAATAAACATCCACAGCAAACAAACCAAGATGTAAGAAATTGAAATGACATCTTAGCCAATAACAACTACCGTGACTGTTTTGGAGGCCCTCCGCGAAGCTTCCTCCCCCACACCCACGAGTACTAATAAATAGATTCGCCCGCCGTACCTACGAGTCTCTGGTGAATGATGGTTCAGGCAGACTGACGGATGTTTATGTTGTTTTGTTAATGTGATTAATATACACTATCATTCATTACCAGTACCTCAATAATTCGAGAGCAAACCACGTCTTCAGTTCGTCAACACCAAGTTACATGGTAAGTTATAATTTTATTCCTGCATATAGGTCTAACAAGACTGCGTGAGAAGATTTTAGTCATCAGGTTATAATTTTATATCACACGTCGTTTTATGTTGAAGCCACATTAAACACACCTTAAGAATTATCTAACTTTATTCGTTGAGACATGCGAAGCTCTGATGCGTAAATAGAACAGTAGGCCATTGAAAACCTACAACAATAGAACAATAGAATTTTAAAACCAGAAATTTTACATTTTCATGTACATTTCACTTGAAATAGATATTTACTAACAAGCAAAATGAAAACATCATTAGTTATACTGTTACTTATACTGAAATTTTTCTAAGAACATAGGCGAAAAATGTAATTCAAAACTTGACAGTTTTATCTTACAATGTTTTTTTATTAGGTTTGGTTCGTTTTCAAAATCATAACGCAAAAGTTTGTTTTATTTTCTAAATACTTTATTGTCTAAAATAGAACAATTATTTTCAGAGTTGAGAGATTATTTGTCTAAAATAGAACAATTATTTTCAGAGTTAAGAGATTATTTGTCTAAAATAGAACAATTATTTTCAGAGTCAAGAGACCTGTTGATAACATGAAACGAAACTATCCTAGTGGATGGGAAAAGAAGAAAAAACAAAAAGCCAAAGAACAAGAACTACAACGGTTGTCAGGTTTAATACTTAAATTTACTAAAGGGGACTATCCCAGGCAAACAATGAAGCAGGGGCAGAGGAGGGTCCTGAATCTTTAGAAGGCCTAATTGCAAAGTATGGCCTACGGAATGAACAAACAAGCAATGAAGAACAAGAAAAAGGAAAAGAAGAACAATACAAAAGGCAAGAAGAAAAAGACATAACCAATTCAATACGATCTGAATCAGACGCAAATTCAGTACACGAATCAGAAGATTTAACATTAAATTATGATGTTGGAAACTGGCCCACTCCAATGCCAGATTATCTAAGAACCGATGTTAAAAGATAAGGCAGTGAAATTTACCAGAACTTGTAGGGGCCATTTGATCCAGTTCATAAAACAGGAGACTATTCAAAGGGTCAAACTAGACAGCTGACAAAAAGCTGGTTTTACAATAAGCTTCCAAGTGGAGAACAGATTTTGAGGAAATGAATGGTCTATTCTCATGAAAAAAAATCACTGTTTTGCTTTTGTTGCAAGTTGTTTGATAAGAACGATAATCCAACGACCAAATCAAGTTTCATCACAGGATTCAATAGTTGGTGGAAATTGAATCCTAAAGTATCAGATCACGAAAACTCTGAATTGCATTTTAACAATTTAGAAAAATGAGAAACACTTAAAGCAAGGCTTCTCCAAAACAAAACCATCGACGCTGCTCACTAAGACTAAAGGAAAGAGAGAAGAAGATATGGAGAGACATTTTGCATCGTCTCTTAGATATAACACTTTTTTTTGGCAAAGAAGAATTTGCCTTTTCGAGGCCACAGGGAAGACTTTGCTTCTGAAAACCGTGGCAATTTCTTGGAACTTGTCAGCCTCCTTTCAAACTATGACCCTGTTTTAAAGGAGCACAGAATACGGCTTTAGCAATCATTGGAATCAGGATTCATTATAGTTTCTTATTTATCGCCTGCAGTACAAAATGAGTTTATATCTCTTTTAGGCGATGCTGTAAAACAAGTATCAATCTGTGAAATCAAGAAAGCTAAATTCTATGGCATATTGTTTGACAGCACGCCAGATATATCGCACACTGAACAAATGAGTCAGGCCATAAGGCATGTGAAAATTGACAACAGGAACGTCAAAGTGAAAGAATCATTTCTAGGTTTTATTCCTCTAAGTCGGAAAAGGCAGACTCCATAACACAGGAAATTGTTCAATCTCTTGAAAAGGACGGCTTGGATTTAAAGCTTTGTTGAAGCCAAGCATACGATAATGCCCCGACAATGTCTGGCTTTCATACAGGAGTACAAACCAGAATTAAAGAATTTAATCCAAAAGCAATATTTGTGCCTTGTGCTAACCATTCGCTTAATTTATGAGGCGTACATGCTTTTGGTAGTGTTTCTCTTTGTGTCACTTTTTTTGGAATTTTGGAAAGTGTGTACACGTTTTTTCATGTTCAACACATAGTTAGGAGGTCCTAAAAGAAATCGTTGGAGTGACAGTGAAGAGACTTAATGATACCAGGCGGAGTGCTCATCACGATGCCGTGAAACCAATCTTCAAACATTTCGAAAAGTTGGTTAAGGCTGTGGAAAAGCTTTGTGATGCTTCTGAAAACCTAGATACGAGAGGAGCAGCGGAGACGTTGATGACAAACATTTGTAATTTCATTTTCCTTTGCTTCATGCATTTGTGGTACCACATTCTACTCGAGGTGAATCATGCCCAAAAATATCTTCAAATCGAAGGTATTAGCTTGGAAAAGTGTGTTGTGAAGCTGAAATACTTGAAGACCTTTTTAGTAGAGTCGAGAAGTTCTGGTCCATAATGCTGTAGAATATGTGACCCAGACTTGTGCTGAAATGGGCATTGATATTGAAAGCAGAAAACGCAAGCGAGTGAAAAAGGTAATGCCAGGAGAAATTGCTAAAGATGCAGGTTTATCTCTACAGGAAGAATTGAAGCGTGCTATGTTCGAGTGCATTGACCACTTTCATGTAGAATTAGAAAAACGTTTGACCTCGATGAACACTGTGTATGAAAAGTTTGCTGTTGTACACACAGGTAATCTTTTGAAGGCAACCGATGAAGAAATTGTAACCTATGTCCATCAGTTTTCAGAAACTTTCAATGATGTAGAGGAGGAAGAAATGCTGCCTGAAGTAAAGAGGCTGAAAAAGCATTTGAAGGCTTCTGGCATCAAATTAGACACTGCAGCTGCATCCTTGAAAATGCTTCAGTTTATCATCAAAATGGACTTTCGTGAATCGTTGCCAAACGTGACTGAAGCTCTTAAACTGTTTCTAACTATATATGTGTCCGTGGCTTCTTGTGAGAAGAGTTTTTCAAAATTGAAATTAATTTAAAACTATCT